TAATATAAAAGAATAATTTTTTTACATATAATTAATTAATATTCAATTATAATTAATAAAATTTTAAAAATTCAAGTATAATTAATTAAAATTCTTTAAAAAGAAATCCAAATATAAATTGTCTAAATATAAATAAAGATCAATCTAATATAAATAACTAAAAGGTTAATAATGCGTTGGGTAAAATTAGATTAAGTTTAAATTTTATTGAATTGGATTTAAGTTTGAAGATTAAATTAAATTTAAAATAAAATTAATTTACTTATTTTTTTAATTTTTCGCAAGGATGGGGATCCCCGCTAATTCGCAAGAAAAAATGCCTTACATTCCCACCCCATGAAAAGAAATATTCCTTCCCGTCTCGTACTTTAACGAGAATCCCTGCGGAGCCCCACAGGGATTGGGGCAAATTGACACCTCTACTACAGAGCACATTCCTCTAAAAAATATATATTGGTTGATTTTTATTTTAATAATATTATTGCATATAAAATTTTAATTATTTAATTAATTAAATTAAAGTTAATATTTATAATTTTTAATATAAATTAATTATAAAAATATGTAATTATTTCATCTTTAATTTATGTGTTAAGGGTATATATTAGCAATTCAAAAGAAAAAATTAAGCAAATTAAGTTTATTTAGGGAAAAGAAAAGAAAAAAAAGAGAGGAAAAACTGAGAGAAGAAAGGGTGTTTGAGGTTGAACTGTTGAAGATGAAAACTATAAAGTCAGTCTGATTGTTAAAATAAAATAAATTTTATCTTTAAATCTTAATTTTTATTTTTTTTAAGAAATGTGCAACTAGATAAATGAAGGTAAAAGAAAGAAAGAAAAAAAAGAAGAGGAAATCTGATAAGTAATTTTCTGTACAAGAGTTTTTTCATTTGTGACTTCGTTTGCCATTAATCTTTTGTCCCTCTCCAGCTGTAATGTGTAAATAGAAACAGCAGAAGTAATTCTATGCTTCTTAACAAAAAGAAAAAATAGAAAATACAGAAGAAAAATATCTTAATCTTAATCTTTATTTTTTTTTTATAAGTAACCTTAATCTTAAAAAAGAAACTATTGCAGTACATTAGAACTATGAAAACAGTAAAATTTTGTAGCATGTGATCCTCACTGATTAGAATGGTGAAGAAAATATATTAGAGTATTGGAGTTGACAATTGATCGTAGGCATGTAACGGCTGAAACTTACGGCTCTGAGCAACAGCGTCCAAATAAACAGAAGATAAGACGTAGAGGAATGAGGTTGACCACCGTGGACAAGTAAAGAGACAAGGGTGGGCATCCGGTTGAGTAATCGAACCAAAAAAATAAATTTGATTTGATTTTAATGGTTTTTAGATTTTACTATTTCAGTTCAGTATTAATTGAATAAATTTTGATTTGGTTTTGATTGAATTTTTTATTAACCAAAAATTGAAATGAACCTCTTCAAAACTAAATCTAGATAAATATAAAAAGACATGATAAAATATGACATGAAATATAATTTATTATTGAGAAAAAAATTGATTAATGTTTATTTGATAAAAATCGAAACCGAATGTAAAATATTGATTTATTTGGTAACCAAACTGATCAATTGATGAAAAATTCAATTTGGTTTCGATTCTCAAAATTGAAGAAAATTTTTTTGATTAATTTAAAACCAGTTTCGATTTAAATCGAAATCGATTTTGCCCACCCCTGGACAATCATGAACAATTGTTAGTAGAAGGATGGACATGAACAAAAAATAAAAGTATAGGGAGGACAATTGACTTTAACCCATTTCAATTTAGTGTTAAATAAAAATATATAAGTTGCTCTCAATTAATTTTTAATAAAATTAATTTATTTTTTTACTTTTAAAATATAAACTTTAAATAAAAATTTAATAATTTATATAAATAACAATTAAATTTTTTTATCAATTAAAAATACTTAATAATAATTATATATAAGGACAAAAATTTTTAATTATTATTTATATAAATAGTTAAATTTTTATCTAAAATTTATATTTTAAAAGTTAAAATGTCATATTAAATCTATTAAAAAATAAAAAAGTGTTTTAAGTGACTATAATTAGACAAACTAGTGTTTTAAATGTTAAGATATTTTATTTTTTTTTTCTCTTTTACTTTCTTGTTTATTTTTAATTGATGTAATTTGATTTTTTAATTTTTAAAATATAAATTTAATAATTTATATAAATAATAATTACAAATATTTATTTAATAAGAATTATATACAAAGATAAAATATTTTTAATTATTATTTACATAAATTATTAAATTTTTATGTAAAATTTATTACTTAAAAATTAAAAATTTAAATTAAATTTATTAAAAAATAACAAAAGAAGTATTAATCACTAATTATTTGTAATATTCAAAACAAATAAAAATAACATTTTTAAAGATAATATTACGTGAAGTACTAACTTTTAGCAGTTTCATGTGGATCCATGAACCACACCCCATCTGGGCGCCGGGTCTTATCGTAAAAAAAGTCTCCTTTGACCTCGTCAAAAAAGGTTGGCCCTTGCTGCAAATGTCAAACTCTCTTAATAATCAAATTGAAAAGCAGAGCCATCCAGAATCTTATTATAAATTCGATTATTATCTCACGAACACATGATGTGAGAGGTCGAGGACTTAACAATGTCTTTCTTCAGATTCTTGATCACCCTTCTTGTGCTCTCCCTGCTCAGCCTTACCACTGAGGCTCAGAACGACCCAACTTACCTCTCCCATTCCTGCGGCGACAACACCACCACTTTCATCAGGAACAGCACTTACCAAACCAATCTCAACCGCCTCCTTTCTGCCTTGTCCAACGCCACCGCCATCAATGGGTTCTCTAATACCACCTCTGGGGAAAACCCCAACAGGATCTACGGCCTCTTCCTCTGCCGCGGCGACGTTTCAACCACTACGTGTCAAAATTGTGTCACGTTTGCCACCGGAGATGTGATTCAGCGTTGCCCTGTTGAAAAAGATGTTGTGATTTGGTACGACGAGTGCCTGCTCCGCTACTCCAACAAATCAATTTTCTCCACTGTGAGTCAATTGCCAGCCGTAGCTTTGTTCAATACTCAGAACGACACGGATCAGGCCCGATTCAACGAGGTAGTGGGGACGGCGATGAACGCTGCGGCGGCTCAGGCTGTATTAGTGGCTAAAAGGTTTGCTACAAAGGAGGCCAATATTTCTGTGTTTCAGACCCTCTACAGTATGGTCCAGTGCACGCCGGACCTGTCAAATTCGGACTGTAATATGTGTCTCCGAGGAGCCATAGGGCAGCTTCCTAATTGTTGTAGTGGAAAAGTAGGCGCAAGAGTATTGAGCCCTAGTTGTTATGTCAGGTATGAAGTTTACCCTTTTTATAACGTATCTGCAGATGCAGCTCCGCCGTCACCACCACCGTTGCTTCCTCCTTCAGGTTCAGGGATCAACCCCAAAGGTGAAGTTGAACACATTATTTAATAATTAATTCATGATTGCTATGATGATATTCTCAAAGTCTGCATCTATCCATAAAGTCGCTAATCTTACAAGTTAGCTTATTCTTGCTGCAAATCAATTATCTTATCTAGTGTCGTCCACTCTCCATTCATCAAATTTAGAAGGATTGGGTACTAAATGTCTTTGGGACCACCCAATGTAAATCTAAATAAAAAGGGGAAAGGATACAAGTAAAACTTTGTTGTAATACTTTTTTATAAAATTTTTACGTGTTATTAAATGATTTGGATGCATATAATATCATGTGTCTTGGAGAGTGAAAAATGCCAATTATCAAATGACAGTTTGCATGAAAAATGACAATTTTTTACATGAAAAAATTGTCTCCCATTCATTTTTCAATAAAAAGAGTGGAGAAATTGCCAACATTCTATCTTTCCTCCTTTTCTCGATAATCAACAATTTTTTTTGGTAAGGATAACCAACTATTGAATGTGAAGTAAATAATCAAGTTTTAATTTTATCAGTGACACATTTTATTTCTTATGCAGGAAAAGGCCGAAAATCATGGGTGATAATTGTTGCCATTGTTGTCCCGGCTGGCATCTCTATTCTGCTTTTCATTGCAGGTTATTGCTTGCTAACAAGGAGAGGAAGGAAGAAGTACGATATTGTGCATGGAGATAATGGTGAAATCATGACTTCTTTAATATTTTTTCAATCCAGAACTATCCTTGAGGTCTCACAGAATTGGATTAATATGTTTAGTGTCTGGTTGTGCAGCTGTGACTGATATTACTACCACCGCAGAGTCACTGCAGTATGATCTCAACTCAATTGAAGCTGCAACAAACAACTTTGCAGAGAGTAATAGACTAGGTGAAGGTGGATTTGGGGTGGTTTACAAGGTAATGTCCATGCCAAGGCTAGAAAATTCAGTTTAGAATTTAGAATCTTTGATGTCAGGACTAGTAATTGTCTATTGTTTCACATTTTCAGGGTAGATTTCCTAACGGACAAGAAGTAGCTGTGAAGAGGTTGTCGAGGAGTTCTGGACAAGGAGCTGAAGAATTCAAGAATGAGGCTGTCTTGGTGGCTAAGCTTCAGCACAGAAACCTAGTGAGGTTATTGGGATTTTGTGTTGAAGGAGAAGAGAAGATACTTGTCTACGAATTTGTGCCCAACAAGAGCCTTGACTATTTTCTATTTGGTCTGTGTCACCTACCGTTTTGAAGGACCTGTGCTCTCAAAGATGTTAACACATAGCAGAAAAGTAGAAGTAGATCAAATTTGATTTGTTTTATTCTTATGCAGATCATGATAGACGAGGATTGTTGGATTGGTCAAGACGTTACAAGATAATAGGAGGCACTGCTCAAGGAATTCTTTATCTTCACGAAGATTCTCGGCTTAGAATCATACATCGGGATCTCAAAACTAGCAATGTATTGCTAGATGGTGACATGAATCCAAAAATTTCAGATTTTGGAATGGCAAGGATTTTTGGAGTTGATCAAACTCAAGGAAGCACCGACAGAATTGTTGGAACCTAGTAAGTAGTAACACCTCAGTCATTGGTTTAAGTTCCATAGTTGATTCATTTGTTGTCACATCCTTACTATTGACTCACTGGAAAAAAAATGAATAGAATTGCATGAAAGATAATCAATCTGATAATTATTTTGTTACATTTAGACATACAAAGAGATAAATTGTTTTCATTGGTGTTTTATTGACATACAACTAAAGAATCTCTGTTGTTGGTATATCTAACATTGGTGCCCGTTTTCCAGTGGCTACATGTCTCCAGAATATGCAATGCATGGACAGTTCTCTGTGAAATCAGATGTGTATAGTTTTGGTGTTTTAGTTCTAGAGATTTTAAGTGGCAAGAAGAATAGTAGCTTTTATCAAAGAGAAGGAACTGGAGACCTAATGAGCTATGTGAGTATATATCAACCTCTGAATTAAACTCTCCCTGTAAATAGTTACAACATTTTCCATCAATAACAAGAACAGAGAAAGAATAAAGGACAACATTTTTCAAACTCCTTGATGAATTTGTGCAGGCCTGGAAACTTTGGAAGGATGGGAGACCACTGGAGCTGTTGGACCCAATTCTGGGAGATTCTTATGCAAGAAATGAAGTCATTAGGTGCATCCAAATTGGGTTGCTATGTGTTCAGGAAGATCCTGCAGAGAGGCCAACAATGGCAACTATTGTTCTCATGCTCAACAGTTACTCAGTCACAGTTCCTCTACCAAACGAGCCTGCTTTTTTCCTCCATAGCAGAACAGAGCCGGTAAAGTTGTTGGAATCTGATCAATCTACAAGTGTGTTGGAGTCTGATCAATCTAAGAGTCAGTCGATGCAATACTCAACAAATGAAGTTTCAATCACTGAATTAGACCCTCGTTAAAATTTTGCCCCCTGCAACTTATTTATCCCTCTGCATTTTTTTCTTTTTTTAAAAACAAACTGTACAATTGTTGGGGAGGGGATTTGAAACATAGACCTTGAGCTAGGACTGGTACTGGGAGAGATACTCTCAGCCATCTGTTAATGTAAAGCAGACCTCTACCATTTGATTAGCAGCAGAAGCAGATGTAGCCTGATGTTTACTATTACTAGGTTGTGTTTGAAACAGTGTATTTAAATTAGGTCGCATTTGGGAATGTGTGTTTGAATTTGAGGGGTGTATTTGAAAATGCAAATAATTTAAAAAATAAAAAATTGTTATACAATTTAAATTGTATTACAATATATTACCATAATTATGGAATGTGGCAACATTTCTGATATAGGGTTATTATTCATTTAACAACTTTTGTTTTATTGTCAAACAAAAAATGCCTGTTTAAATATATGTAATTTTTAAAGAATATAGTGTTTTATACTCTGATATGCATAGAATTATAAAATATTGACTATTAAATAAAAAATATTCTCTTAATATTAAGTTTTTTTTTTTAATTTAATAATTAATACTTTATAATTTAATAGAGTTTAAATTATAAAATACTTTTTTAATTTTTCAATACAAGTTATTGAGTTTCCAGTTCTTGCATTCACTTTTGTCAGCACTAGCCATTAACAACGGGTAGCTATGGTTAGGTTTTGATTGTAATTAAAATCAAAATATTAGTTAATTAAAATTTTGGGTATTAAATTTTAATAACTATTTACTAAATAAAAAAATTTTATTGGTTTC